GGCTCGGGTGTGCGGATGCCCGGGGCGCTGAGGGGGCCCCGCCGGGCACCCGGGACCCGGGCCGGCTGTGGGACGACCTCCAGGCTGCGTCAGGTTGGTCGCGGTCGCTTCCATCCCCGGGGCGTGGTGTGAGAGGGGGAATGTCGGTGTCAGCCCCGCACCCCGAGAGCCGCGTCGCCTGCTCACCGCGTATTCCTCGGGGGTCCGTGCTCGTCGCTCCCGTGCGTGCCGTGGGGAGTCGGGTGAGGGGGAGATGCGCACAGCCCGTGACGCGGTTTGGGGGCACATACCCTGATTGCTGAACCGCGAGGAGAAGCTCCAGGCGTGGAAATATTTCTGCACGGGTGCAGGCGAAGCGGGCTGGAGGCGTCGAGCTCCTTTTGAGGCGATGAAGTAGCGCAGGGAGGGTTTGTCCTGGGCTCCCGAGGCCTGCGCTGTGCATTGAGAAAAGAAACCGCTCTTGGGGAGTCGGGACGGTCGCGCCTGCCGGGCGTCGAGGGTGCGCTGAAGGGGCGGCGGGGGAAGGCAGCCCGCGTCGGGCTCCCGGCGCTGCCCGGCGCCGCGTCCTCGCCTTCAGTCCTCACGGCGGCGCCTCTCGCTGGGCCACGGGGACAGCGGGTCGCGGCGACGTTCAGTCGCCTGTTCAGGTCCCAGCCGGCGAACAGGTAGAGCTGAGGTTCCGACCCAGGGACGCCAGACTCCGAATTCGGGCGCTTGACGTTTTGTGTGGGCCCAGGGAGCGATATGGCCTGTTTTTAGGGAAGACCCCGCGCGAGAGAACATTATTTAGGTTACAAGTCCTAACAAGGCGTGAGTCCTTGAACGCGTGCTGTTTTAAGCGCGTTAGCCTTCAGACAGGGTCTACTGTAGGGAAATCGTACACTCGGGGCGAAAGCAGGTATGTTCGTGCATTTCGTGTTTGTTTGAATGTGTCCTTTCCCAGGTACTTAACCTCTGTGCCCAGAGGACCGAGATGAGTAAACTGTGTAACCTCCGCTCTTGAGTTTAATGGAGGAGATGATCTTATAAAAGAATTTTGTAGGGTTCTGCTGGATGTGGCCACCTCCATTAGTGTGTGAGTTAATTGTATTAAAAGAGTTTTAAGCACAGGCTTTGAAGGATCCATTAAGAAGAGGTATTGGACAGCTTACCCATGCACCACTGCATCGTTCTTTTCCCGTTCAGCAAGAAATACTGTCCTAAAATTTAGTTTAAATCACATAAACAATTGGTATTTTGTTGTACTGTTACACTGCCTTCAGTGAGTTTTAAAATAATGGAGAAGAGGACATCTATTATTTATGATTTTGTAGTGCTTTTACTTTATTAGTTGAGAAGCCACTGCGGGCAGGATTTCTTTCAAGTCATCTGCCAAGCCTGTGCATAACCTCTTCTTCCAAAAACTGAATGTTAAATTAAAAGGACAGGGTGGGGCAAACGTAGGTTTATAGTTGTTCATATGGAAAATAGAGCAGTAACTAATAAGTAATACTATAAGAGTAAACTGGTGTGTTTCGTGTACTCACCACTGTAAACCTACCTTTGCCCCGCCCTGTATAGCGAATACCAGATTCCACTTAAGCTTTTACGGCTCGGAGTTCTAATGAACGCAGAGTCTTCAGTTTGGACTGAAGTAGCACATAGTTGAAATATATGACATTACATTAGGCACAGCTGTAGGCAGGTGGGGAGAAGGGACGGCAGGGCATTTTGGAAATTTCCAATAGCTTCATTTTTCTTGGTGAGGTAGAAATCAGCTCATGATCCGAGGGTGATGCTGCGGGTGGACGCTTTGGGGATTTGGGAGAGTGCATGGATTAGTGAACTGTACAATTGCCAGGCAATTAACCAGTCATGCTGAGATATGAAAAGCCCAGTAGAGGAAATAGGGACTGCTCTCCATGGGTGCACAAAATAGAATGTCTAATTTGATTTTGCATGCTAGGCATTTCACAACCGATTTCCATGGTCTGTCTTTACAGTGTCCCATGGAGCACGCACCTGCAACCCTTTGCCCTAACTCACTTTGCCTGTGCCTCTGCCATATTGCAGATGTCCTTGTTCTTTATGCAAGTTAAGCCCTTTTGGGAGTCTAGCTTTTCCATTCTTTTTTCTCTGCCTGGAATTTTCATTCCAGTCTTTTCCAAGCTCTTTCCCCTGATTGCACATATCACATTATATAAAATTTTATCTATCTGTAAAGTCAGTGACAGTGTCTAACTTATTTCTTGTCATTATGTTTAGTGCATGAATCCCTCAGTAAATGTTAAATGAATGTGCCACTTTTCTTCTTATTCTTTTACTCCATAACAGGGGTCAGTACACTTTTTCTGTAAAGAGCCATATAGCCAAGTATTTTAGGTTTTGCAGACCATCTGGTCTCTGTTTCAGTTACTTAACTCTGCTGTAGCACAAAGCAGGCATAGATAATACTGAAACGAATGAGCATGGCTGTGTTCCAGTAACACTGTATTTATAGACACAAAATTTGAATTTCATGTAATTTTTACATGTCACAAAATATTATTCTTTGATACCACCCCCAACCATTAAAAATGTAGAAAAACACTCTTAACTCAGGTCATGCAAAACAGGCTGGATTTAGTCGCCACCTCCTCCATTGTAATTTGCAGACCTTTGTTCTATAAGAACTATCAGCAAGCCTCGATAAAGTAATTTGCTGGAAGGTGATACTGGTTATATTACCTTTGGTGGTAGAGAAGCAAAGATAAATTAGGCAGCCTTTTTTGTCAAGGATCTCATGGTTAAGTTCAAGATTAAGACATGTAAACAAATAATGATGACCCAGTTTGGTAGCTGCAATTACAGTTTATTTATTGGATATGGATGTGGAACAAAGGAGTGATAATCGGCTTTGCTGGGGTGGACCAGAAGTAACCTCTAACATCATCTGTTGGAGAAAGGGAACATTTTCAGCTGAGAGCCTTTCTGAGAATCTTTCAAGCTTGTTAAGGTGGTTGACCACATCTCTTATCAGGAGGCTATGAACATCAGAGTGATTCCTCTTTTTTTTTTTTTTTTTAATAAGATATAATCTGAATTCATTTCTCTCAGAAATAAAACGAATGCATTCCAAATGATTTTTCCTTAACAGTTATTTCTAAAGGTCATGTACATTTTGTATTGCTTTGAGACAGGTGAAATATGTTTCATAGCATGTTAATGTAATCAGTATTTCTTTAATAAATGAGTTTCTGATACTGAATTTCAGATTACATGGCTTCTAGTCTTTAAGTCAATTATTAATATATTAGAAAAGGAAGGTGGGCTTTCAGTTTTCTTGCAGTTTATTAGATTTAGTATGAATTATTTTATTTAGGAAAGTATTCATCTAGGAA